AGAAGAGAAGAGAAGAGAAGAGAAGAGAAGAGAAGAGAATACTTTATTGGCCGAGTGTGATTGGACACACAAGGAATTTGTCTTTGGTGCAAATGCTCTCAGTGTACATAAAAGAAAAGATACATTCGTCAAGAGTCAAGAATCATCAGGTACAACACTTAATGATAGTCATAGGGTGGAATAGAATCAGAATCAGAATCAGAATCAGAATCAGAATAGAATAGAATAGAATAGAATAGAATAGAATAGAATAGAATAGAATAGAATAGAATAGAATAGAATAGAATGCAATGCAATGCAATGCAATGCAATGCAACACAATACAATACAATACTTTATTGGCCAGGTGTTTAGCAGAGGGATGACATGCGGGGGGCGGGAGGAAACTCCCCTTGTGTCTAGATATTCTGCTGTGCGTCGTTTTGAGGGAAGGAGTTGAAACGCTTTATGTCCGTAGGGGGTGAGGGGTCTGTAGGTATAAGAGCCGCCTTTTTTCTTTCTTTCTGGAAACCCATTTCCCTCCTCCCCCCCCACCCAAAAGGCCGATCCGCTCTGTCATCAAAGCCGGACGAGAGAGAGGGAGCGCCCGGCGAACGCTTCTGGGCGGGAATTCCCGCTCTGCACACCGCGAGGGGCAAACTTGGATCGGACGCAGCCCTACGGCTCGAAGCCATCCCTGTGCTTCCCGGCCTCTTGGAATAAGCGTCGTTTCCTGTCCTTGGGGGAACCTTTGCGCCCCGCCCCCTCCTCCCACAAGCGCAGGGCGATCCATTGGGACGGCCCGCTTCCAAAGACTTTGCGCCGTTTGTTGAACTGGCCACAAATTCCGGCCAGTTTACAGCACAAATTTCTGGAGGGGGAAAATATTACCTAAAAATAATACAGTGTATGGGTCTTCTATGGTGATTATGGGATGGCAAAGCAGCTTTAGGGCTGGGTAGCTTTAGCGCAAGAGGCGCCCCTTTAACCAGGCCCGGATGCGCGCGGGCCTCTCCCGGCTGGCGCAGTCACGGCCGCTTTTGGATCAGGCTCACACGAGGCTGGCTTGGAGAACTTCGCTGGCACTCTCGCCACGGGACGCAGAGTGAGACTAATATCGAACCAACACAGGTAGCCTTCTCCTTACTTCAGTTCGCGAGGTACCCTTTGGAAGTTAGGAATGGTGAGTTATCACCACCATTTTTCTTTTTTCCAACACTTTATTGGGTTTTTCCGTTTATACACAATACCATTATTAACTGAACAATACTGTGACTATATACATACATACATACATACATACATACATACATACATACATACATATCTTTGGTTATTCGGGTTTTCTCCTGCGTAAAATTGGAAGTATCTAGGTGACGTTTCGATGAAGTCTTATTCATCATCTTCAGGCTTGTGTCTTCGGCTTTGTGCTTCTCGGAATTTTACATGGGAGAAAACCCGAATAACCAAAGATCCACATACAAATACCCGCAAAAACCTCAGAATATCTATATCTATATCTGTATCTATATCTATATGGTATTCAACTTTGTTCGGGTATTTTCCCACGTCATTATAGTTGTGCTTTTAAAGTTGTAGCAACGTTTCATCAGAATCTCATCTGCCATCATCAGGCTTCTGTATTGTGTTCATCTGTGAGTCAGACTTTTATAGTTGTTTCAGTTTTAAATTTGGGGCTAGCCTACTGCTGTGCCAGAATGGTTTTTTCTTCATCCTGATTGGTTGGGAATCTTGGTCTGTGTTTATTGGTCTTGGAGTTTGCTGTGTTCTGTTTGATTGGTGTTTCTAATATCTTCTGTCTGTTTTGTGGGTTTTTTTGTGTCTTGATTGGCTGGCAACAGAGAGAGAATAGAATATAGAAGATTATCCCATCCCACAAATTATGTCTCTCTTGAAAGGGAGGTTGGAATGAGAGAAGACTTTGCGTACACACACACACACACACACACATATATATATATATGTGTGTGTGTTTTCTTAAGTTTTCATGGGCACTTACATGTATGGTATTCAGCTTTGTTTGGGTATTTTCCCACGTCATTATAGTTGTGCTTTTAAAGTTGTAGCAACATTTCGGCAGAATCTCATCAGTTTTAAATTTGGTGCTAGCCTATGCTGTGCCAGAATGGTTTTTTTCTTCATCCTGATTGGTTGGGAGTCTTGGTCTGTGTTTATTGGTCTTGGAGTTTGCTGTGTTCTGCTTGATTGGTGTTTCTAATATCTTCTGTCTGTTTTGTGGCTTTTTTTGTGTCTTGATTGGCTGGCAACATTGTGTTCCTGTATTGGAGGCTTTTAGTGCAGCTTGGCTCCGAGTAAATGGACGGCTATCATTTTTTTTAGGAAGCTAGGTTTCATCTGGGTGCCTGGTTGGGGTGTGTTTGAGCTGGAGGTATCAGGGGGGATCTGTTTGTGCCCAGGTGTTTGCCTGGCTTGTGGTGTGGAGATTTTTTTGTTTGTGAGTGCAGGCTTCCAAATAATTGACAGTCTGGTGGAACCCCCTCTTCTATTCATGCTTTCAGGTCTTTTTTCAATCTCTATGGCTTCTCTGATGATTCTGTGGCTGGGGTTTTCTATAGTGGCTAGGGTTTGGGTGCCATTGAAGTTGATGC